AATGAAAGCAGATCAATATATTTAGCTATAAGGAAAAGACAAACACTGTTCTTTGGTCATGGGATGGGGGGGGGGGGGCGGGGGGTTGGATATGGAGAATGTGACGACTGGGCAGATCAGCGGTAGAAGAGAGAGAGAGAGAGAGAGAGAGAGAGAGAGAGAGAGAGAGAGAGAGAGGCAGACCAAGGAAGATTGCGATGGTGGCATGGAGGGATATCATCGGTGGACATGATCCAGAGAACAAGAGACAGAGATCTGTGAAGATGCATGAACGCCTACGCCAGTCGACAGGACACACGATGATGGTAATTCTATGAAACTTTATAGTTACAATAGGCTAACTTACCTTGGGGCTGTGGTCCGGTGCAGAAATGTAGATAGCGCTGTGGGGATGGGAGAGACTCGTTGTCGGATGGCGTCTACTGGCCGACTCGACGCTGCAAGCACACACCTGACCACGTGACACACGCTGCGAGATAATCAAGTGTCGTGAAGTAGAACATAATTTTTTGTAAACACGGCAATGACAGTCATCTATAGCAATCAAACTAGATGGAATGTTACACACACGGCCTGCCCTCACAGAACTGCGGAAGTCTCGCACTTGATAGATAACATCCTGAGATAACTGCATCCCCTGTGGCGCATGAGTGCCGATCATTACATTTTCTGTTACGTTATTTATCATATAATATTTAACGCCTCAAAGGTTTCCCCTCTGTTTATCTATGTGAATATTGTAACGATTATTACTTGGTCTCAGTCGTGTAAGTAAAAAACCCTTTTCCCACACCTTCAGGCATATAGGGCTAGACCTGCTTTGTAACGACCAGTCGGTGGGCGATGTGGTCAGTGACCCGCTGGTCACCTTTACTTCCCAGTACTTTGTCTGGTACCCATTTAGGGCTGGGTCATTTATGAAGAAAAGTCCAGCGCCGTCCAGATTTGAATCAACGACCTTTGGATCCGCAGGCTAGCGTCTAGCCGTTACACAAGAACGGTTCCTATAATACACATATACACAAATGACATTCTAATTAACACCAGACTCGATTCACTGGTCAACAGAACATGACAGAAGAACCTTGTCCGAGCCAACATAACGGCTTCCAACACCACCCGGTCACCACACAAATCTTGCAGATATATCGCCAGCAGAAAGACAACAGTTGACCTCTTCCATCCACGGCCTCATCGTTTGTGTTGTTGTCCTGGCTCTTCTGTGGGGGCCGCCTTTTATTGTTCTTTGGAGGTGCAGGACCGGCTTGACACCAGCTGTTTTGTGGGATAATCTTCTCAAATCTCTCAGCGTGGGGCTGGGATTAGGGGGTTTTCGAGTCGTCAGAACATCCATTGCTTCAGCTTCGTCCATGTCGTTATCATCAGCGTCACCATCATTGTAGTCATCGTCAACTGCAAAATGAGAACTTGTACTTTAATTTTAGCTCACCCTAAGCACGGGTACCCCAGAATATCCAGGAAAGCCCAATATTAAATTAAACGGCATTTAAAGTCTAACGTTAAGCAACAGTAAGCACTGTATGGATGTATTGGCTAGATCTGCAACACTGTGGGGTGAACTGATACATGACAAGACAGATGTGGTCAAGGCCCTTTGGGAACAAGCAACCGAAAAAGTAGACAAACAAGATTATTATGGCAATGAGCGAAGGAGGCACGTGGATGTAACCAGAGGGTCTGGCCGGCTCACTACACCCAAAGGAAAGGCTAGGGAAGACGGACATATAACCAGATTGTGACCGGTACCATCAGTATTGGATCTCTGCGCTAGCTGCTGAAGATGAGGACGGAGCACGCATAGGAATCGCTCAATAAGCGCCATTTGCTCTATAAAATATAGGTATAGCCCTATATACCCAGTACATCTGAACGCAAGGAAAAGAATCCTTTTTACTTGTCTACTTTTCGCTTGGTTTGTTCATTGGTTCATGATCAACTATCTACCCCCGAGGGGAAGGTGTCGGTTATGTTATGGTCTGTGTTTATATGCGCCATGTTCATGGCTAATACGTGCTGGCTACCAAGTAACCCAGGTGTGGACTCATGCAGTGCTGATGCGAGGACTGCTGCCGACCACCTACCCTACCGGCGACCGAGTCGTCCGTTGGCGGGCCAAGAAGCCCGCCGGGTGTCGATGTGTAGTTTGATTTCTTGTCATGACATTTGCATAGCTTCACTGCAGTTCAATAATTGCATCTCTCTTATGTGTCCCGCCCTCCCAAGGCTGCTACTGCCTATATGTGCTGTACTTTTTCCTACCATCGTTTGGATTTTATGAATTCTTGTTCATATTTATGATGTTGTATAATATGCTGATGAAGGCTCTCTTGCCGCAACGTTAACTTGTCGATTGTGTTTGTGACATTGCGAAGCTGTCTGGTTCTGCTTTGCGTTTGGTTTGATATCTTGTCTTGAAAATAGACCTCAGATGTTGGGTTCTGAATCAGAGAAGGGATCCCTGCCCGTGCCCTGCGAGCACCCATAGAGATAATACTTGCTCCTGGCCGGAATAATCCCTCTGGTACTGGCAGTGCTGCAGATTTCTAGCTCCGACTTAACTCAGCGGTGTCCCCAGGCGCTGCTCGGCTTTCTGTGTAAATCGCGGGTTGCCCGTCAGTGCGTCACTCGTGGCTTTAGTGCGTTTCAAAAGTTGTGTCCTCACACTAGAACAAATATCTCAAAAACTCATATTCAGATCAACACGAATATTTGTATGTGGCATTAGATTCCCCATGTCCTTATCATTTTATAATTTATAGTTGCACATGACCGGCCACCAGCGGTGTTAGACAAGGTGATATTCTCTCACCTTACCTCTTCATTCTTATGATGGATGATGTCATCAAGACCTGTAAGGAGAAGACAAAGAAGTACTCTGTAAGGTACTGGAAGATGAGACCAATCTGTATATCAGAGCTGGCTTTTGCAGACGATGTGGCCCTGATAGCTAAATCAGAGGCACACCTTCAGTCCAACTTACTTGTCTGGAAGGAAGAGCTTGAAAAGAAAGGGATGACCATCAGTGTCTCCAAAACTAAAACCATGGTGATCTCAAGAGAGGAGAAGAAACACCAGATCATGATGGGTCAGTATGCGTTGGAGCAGGTTAACCAGTTCAAATACCTTGGAGTTGTATTAGACCAAAAATGGAGGCATTAAGACTGAGCTGGCTACACGAAAAGCAGCTGCTGGGAGACTCTTCCAGGCCATAAACCGAGGGTTTCTTAGCAAAAGAGAAATTGGCAAGAGGAGGAAAATGGCTGTTTACCGCTCTACCTATGTACCAGTCCTGACCTATGGGTGTGAGTCATGGGCAATGACAACAGCTCACAGAAGCCAGCTGCAGGCCTCGGAAATGAGATACCTGAGAAAGGTGGTCCAAGTGACAAGAAGGGACAAAGTCCGCAATCAGACAATACGTCAAGATCTTGATACCCAGCCCTTACTAACCAGAGTGGATCAGTCACAGTTACGATGGTTTGGACATGTGTGCAGAATGGGAGAAAATCGGCCACCATGGCAAGCATGGGAGGCTAAGAACCAGGGAACCAGACCTCCGGGACGACCCAGGGTGCGCTGGGAAGACAACATCCGACAGTCCCTGACTGACAGAGGACTGGAATGGAACAAAGCCAGAAAGAAAACTGCTGATAGAGACGTCTGGCGATCTCTCTGGCAAACCTCTACACCCCAAGGTAGAAGAGGAGCGACTAAGTAAGTACATGACCGGCTATTTTCTTAAACCGGGCGAATTTCTTTGATCTTTTTTACGACTATTTTTTGTACCATGAAATAGAATATACAGTAACTGACACACGTGGAGATTGTTATCAGTTCACGTGTGCGGCGATCCATGATGATTTTATTTTGGATAGCTTATCCCGCATTCAGCGAAAAATTGTGTTTATCTAACTGATGGGAGTCTAAAGCTGAAGATGACTACCAGAAAGTGAAACGTCTATGAAACTCTGCAGTTTGATGTTTTGAAAATTTCCCGTTACTCGTGTAACTGTAAGCATGCTGATTGCTTGCTTTTGAATCGGTGTCTGTTGTTTTTTAATGTTCCGGGAAAAAAAAAGACAGAATATAAAACTAAATGTTTGTTTACATTAAAGAAGGAAAAAAAAGAAGATTTTTTTTACAAGGTTATAATAATTAACAGGCCCCTGGCCAAATGTCGACTTCTTACGCCGAATAGTTACGAGTTTCGATTTTTAAAGTTGGCCACGATTTCTGGAACTGACTGTAGTCGTCGCTTGTTTTGTTTTTGTAAAAAAATAACTTCGATAAAAAATCAAGAGCGTGCAAGCTATGGCCCACGGGCTAAAACTGGCCTGCCGAATACTTTTTACTGGTCCGCGAGGCTGGTGTAAAATTACTATATACTGTAATCTTGTTCGTCCGGGGAAAGGTTAAAAAATTACAATACATCACGCGCACGCACGCACACACACACACCACACACAATAGGGTAACCTTAACATTGGTAACCAGAAACCAAATTGTTGACCCACACGTGTCGTGGACAAACTCAGTTTCAAGGAAACCTGGGTGTTATGCATGTTTGTAATGGGTTTTTTTCCCCTTTCGTGTAGCTCTTGAACAGCTACGCTGACTGCTGCGTGTTGTTAATATAGGTTCCATTAGATGTACCAGATGTAGGGGAATCCCTTACTTCTCATTATATGCAACAGCTTCTGGTGTTGATCTCGGTCAGCCGTCTTGTCCCAGAACGAGTTTCGTGTGCACATCCCAGTGACTTCTTTGTGTGCAGAATCTTGGTATCTAGCATCTCAGGCAGGACAAGTAAGCGACCAGGCTTTTCGAAGGAAGAATCCTTGGCCAGATGCTGGTTGGAAACCAGTTTCTAGGGTTACTTTTGAGAAGTAGAGTTAGTGTCGACCAGTATGCCCTCCGGTGCTGGCTGGTCTACTACTGAATCCGAGCAGCAGTCTGAAGTGTGTGTTCTGTGTCGACAGGAGGATACGGCCACAAGGGACATCACTCTAGGCGTCATCAGCTCGGCCTTACAGTCCTTGGAGTCTGGCAGGGGGAATGTCTACAGGCTGGCAGGCCCCACTGACACCTACGAGGTATATGTGGGTTAGCTAGTTCTGGACACACAGTGTATCTCTCTCTCCGTGTATCTCTTTTCTTTTTGTATGTCTGTTTATCTATCTATATGTCTGCCTGTCTGTCCGTCTATCTCTGTCTGTCACTTTCTCTCTAACCCTCTCTCTATCTGTTTTTCTCTCTCTCTCTGAGTGGGAACTGACTTTCAGTCACCATTGACACGTACATGGTATATTTAGTTTATCTACGTGTAGGGGATGCAGTCTTTCTCTCTTCTCTGTCTTTCTCTTTCTGTCTGCCCCCCCCCCCCAACCCACCCCAAAACAGTCAACACACACACACACAAAGATATTGTTCTCACTGGGTCCTCCATGAGAAAGGTGGTGGGCCATGTCATTAGTAAACCATGTCATTAGTAAACCATGTCATTAATAAACCATGTCATTAGTAAACCATGTCATTAGTAAACCATGTCATTAGTAAACCATGTCATTAGTAAACCATGTCATTAGTAAACCATGTCATTAGTAAACCATGTCATTAGTATCGGGAGACTTACCGGATTTGAGTGGCTCATTAAGTAAACACTTTGACGCTGTAGCTTAATACTGTACATAATAAACAACCTAGACAGGTTTTGGTAGTAACTGTAGCTTTCAATAGTTATGTTGTCTACTATGTCCTTCTATCTTCCTACATCTTTCTTTGGGTGCCGATCAATACATATCTGTTTTCTACGGCCTCGAGGGTTCCCCATCTGCTTCTGAGCCAGTATGGAAGATAGGCTTGGCAGAATGTTTAGCTTTGTGGTTATTTTTGCTCATGACAGCGCATTGCTAATGGAGTTTGCACATATGGCTGGAGAGGCTCTGCCTAAGCATCTGAGTTAAGTGCTTGGTGCGGCACTATTAGCTGTGTTTATCACATAGAATGTCTTTCATTTGTGCAGCGCTTGAGTTGTAGTATTCAATTTGGCCTGTAGCCTGTTTACATGTGGGCTTGGCAAAATACCTTATGTAATAATCTTGTAATCTTGCGTGTATATGGCCAGCGTATCGTGACTGACTATTTCTATCAACAATAAATTGCCTTTCTGGTAACGACTGTTGACTTTGGCACCTCTAACGACTGCCTTATGCATTTATTGCGTGCTCATATTTCTGGATTGTGCCAGGACTAATTGTTTGTTCATCAGTAGTTTTTTTTTTTTTTTGGGGTGTGTTTTTGTTTTAAGTGGACGATGAGGGACATTTCGTTTGATGTTCTTTGGAACTGGAACAGTGCAAGTAAGGAATGACCGGATTGGAGTGAAGTTAAACGTCTACTGTTACTACTACGATTACAACTTAGTTCGCTGTATCGAAAGTTTTTTTTTTTTTTTTAATAATGTATAACAGAAATATTTACGCTTTCAGATGATAAGAGCAGACTGCCCGATGGCTGCACAACTTCTGTCTCTTCTAAAGATAGCCTGCCAGAATGGCAAAAGTAAGTCTGCCCAATCCTCATCCTCTTTGCTCCAAGTTTAGTCTGTAGTGCCTGTGGAGGAGACATGTTGTCCGTTTGGGACAGACTCGGGCAGACCATGCTTCAGCTGGAGTTGAAGATCTGATTGTTTGGCGCTTTGTATCTGTGTGGTGACTACTAACTGAACCCCACCAGGACAGCAACCTCAGCCATTGTTACTGGGTGAACCAAGAGTCCATGTTGGGAGGAGAATACCCTTAGGTACAAATCCCAGAAACCCCATTCAACCGTCAGGTTATATTGGGGCTCTCGACCACGGCTACTAATTAACCTGAAGTTCTGGCAATGGGGGGGGGGGGGGGGGGGGTGTGGTTTGCGGTCTGTGCTCAGAAATCACACTGGTACACCTGGTTTACAAGTATGTATGCCGTCACTAGGCAGTGGTTTTCTGGCTTTCTCTCTCACTTTTTCACAAACATTGTCTCACTCTCTCTATGCATCTCTCTCTCTCTCTCTCTCTCTCTCTCTCTCTCTCTCTCTCTCTCTCTCTCTCTCTCACACACACACACACACTCACACACAGACCCATACTCCTTCTCTATCTCTCATTTTAGCACACACCTGCTGTCACCTACATTTTAACTTTCACAAGCTTTCTTTCTCGTAGTATTTTTCCTTCACTATCTATATTTGACACTGTCCTACTGTGTAGGTTGCAAGGCTCCATTTCGCTGAGCAAAGAATAAATAGATTCACTGCCTCTCCCCACCTCACCATCACCACCACAACCCCTTCCACACCCACCACCACCCCACACCTCCCCCAACTACCACTACCACCTCCCCCACCCACCACCACAACCCCCCACCTCTCCCACCCACCACCACAACCCTTCCCTCCCCCACCACAACCCTACCCTCCCCCACCACTACTACCACCACCACCACCACAACCCCCCACCCACCACCACTCCCCCCACCCACCACTACCACCTCCCCCACCCACCACCACAACCCCCCACCTCCCCCACCCACCACCACAACCCCCCACCTCTCCCACCCACCACTACCACCACCACAACCCCCCCACCCACCACTACCACCACCACACCCCCACACCTCCCACACCTCCCCCACCCACCACTACCACAACCCCCCCCCCCCCCCCCCACCTCCCCCACCCACCACTACCACCCACCACACCTCCCCCACCCACCTCCCCCACCCACCACTACCACAACCCCCCCCCACCTCCCCCACCCACTACACCCCCCCCCCCCCCGCCCAACCACCACCAGCATTTCCTAGGCGACTTATGATGCGTGTTTCCTTGAAAGTCGAAGTGTATCCGTAGTGTAGAGGAAAGGAACAAAAAGTCTGCTTGCTGATAAGCCAAATGTTTAAAATGGATGCGTACGCAAGGATCAAGACCAAAATCTAGGCGTGGACGAACAACCAGAACTTTCCGCCGGAGTTTACAGCCAGCGAAGGCTAAATAATAAAGACTAAAAAGTTAGTTACTTTTTCTTTCTTTCTCTCTCTCTGTCAGTCTCTCTGTCTGTCTGTCTGTCTGTCTGTCTGTGTGTCTGTCTCTCTCTCTCTCTCTCTCTCTGTGTCTGTCAGTCTGTCTGCCTCTCTCTCTCTCTCTCTCTCTCTCTCTCTCTCTCTCTCTCTCTGTCTGTGTCTGTCAGTCTGTCTGCCTGTCTCTCTCTCTTGCTCTCTGCTGTGTTATCTTTTCTTGTAATTTTATAACACATTCAGTTACTCTCTCTCTCTCTCTCTCTCTCTCTCTCTCTCTCTCTCTCTCTCTCTCGCTCTCTCTCTCTCTCACACACACACACACAAACAAAAGCACAGACTTTAAGTCTGTCATGTCTTATTCTTGTATTCAGACTTTCACTATCTTCCTCTCAGTCCACCCCCCCCCTCCCCCCTCCCCCGAAACATCTCACTCGTCCAGCCGTTGTTTTTTTGTGTGTCTTGATAAACAAGTGATTGTTGCTCCCTCTGTCATTAGAATTAATTCATTGTTGTTTCCCTTACCATTGTTCTCAGATGCAGAGATGGGGTGTCATGTTCAGCACCTGATAACTTCGCTGGCTAGAGTGCCCCGGTACTCACGGGTAGACAGCCGGGTGGTGTCTTACTTGCTGTCTTGTCTGGAGACCAGTAGTGATATCATTTGTATCTCTGCCCAGAGATACGCTCCCGTGTCTTGA